GGGTTTAGGGTTTAGGGTTTAGAGATTAGGGTTTAGAGCCTTAAAGATTCGAAACTTCACACAGGCATCACGAGGTCTTGGGTACAATGACGAAAGTGCGCACAGGCGCTACGCTGCAAGACATCAGCGCCCTCGCTTCGTCGAGCCTCCTTTTGAACCAGCTTGCAGCACCCAGCGCTTAAAGCTTAAACCTGCCTAGAATAGAACTTTTTGTTAAAAAAAAAAAGAGTATATAAAATGGAACACATATCCGTGCTACGTAGTAGAGGCCTTGTGGCTTCCTTTCCACCATGTCGCTACCGTACTGCCCTGTGAGTGCAAATGTCTGGGCGCTAATGTCACTGCTCCCAAAGCTGCCCTCAAGCTCGATGCCCTGACTCTGAGACAAACAAATCCTAAACCCTAAACCCTAAAACCACAAACCCTAAACCCTAATCCCAAGCCCTAGGCCCTCAGACCCTGGTCATGCAAGGGACGCCGTCCGCTCCATCCCTAAGACATCCCTGGCCCACTTGTGCCTGTTCCATGGCAGCTGCCTCCTCCTCCGCCTCCTCGGAGACTATTGAGACCGCGCTAGTTCGGGCAAGGGGCATTTGGGGGCTTCCGAACATGGAGGCCCCCCCTTTTTGGGGGTCCCTAGTAAGGGGGATTCTATTTGCGGTATAAAACGTGGTAGCCCCCATTTTGGGAAATGCCCATTTCAAGAAGAGCCAGCCAACCCAACCCTGCAAACACACCGGAATGCACGCCCAAGCTTTGACCCGAACACATCCCGAAACCCCACCTGGACCTATGCATCTACAGTACATCTGCGACCCTAAACCCTAAACCCTAAACCACAAAGGCACGTCAACACAATGCAACATAACCCACAATCCGAGGCTAAATCCCACCGCCCACAGCCCTTCAACCCGAAACTCCCCCGCTGAGGACTCAGCCGAGACTTGATCGCTCCACCGAGTGCCATCCTCCGCATGCTAGGAATGCTCTTTTGTTCCTGTGCGGCCCTAACGTTTCTCAGAAGTATCCTGAAGGCTTTAAGGGGCACGGCGACATCTGTGCAGCCCTAAACCCTAAACCCCAAACCCTAAACCCTAAACCCCAAACCCTAAACCCTAAACCCTAAGCCCAAGGATCCATGTCCAGTCCCGGAGGGCTATCGATGTCGGATCTTCAAGAAGGCTTCTATGCGTGCCTACACCTGAAACTTCCCAACTCTAGACCGAGGGCTCAACCCCAACCTAAACCCGACAAACCCTACAAAACACCAACCCACCCATGTTTGGTCCCTAAACCCTAAACCCTAAACCGTAAACCCGAAACCCGAAACCCTGGCGGTTCAGCCCTGGAATCCTGCTCGATGCATGGGCTGACGCTGGAATCTGGAACCCCTTTGTCTCAGCTGCCATCTTCACAAAAGAAGTCTGCATCGCACGGGTCGCCCTTTTGGCCCCTACGGCCCCTCGATCCCTAAAGTTGCGCATCAGCGCCCAGCCTTTCATGCTTCACTGAACGCATGGCGCGACACAAATCAACAACGCAAAGCCCCACAAAGGGGGAGGGCCTAGAGGAGCCTCCCCCCTCCCCCGCCTCCGACCATATATACCTCACCCACCCCTAAACCCTCATAAACCCTCCGCAGCACGGCAGACGGGCCGGTAGCACAACGAAACCCTCAAACCAGAATTCAACAACCCGAAACCCCAAACCTGGGGATGGCGCTAAAAAAACCCTGAAAAACTAGCAGCCCAAAGCCCCTCAGCTTCCCCCGTAACCCTCCCCCCCAAGCTCAGGCAACTGCCTGGCGAGAGCCACTAGCCACCTGTCAACTTGACGGCCATGAGGGGCTTGGGGAAGGCGCCAAGTTGAAAACCCATGCGGCCGGGTTGCTGAGAGTGTTTTGGGGCACAGTGGATGCGATCAAGGCGATACATTTTCAGCACTAACGATTCGAGACAGCCAACAGTCTGGCTACGAAAACTGAGAGCTGCGGCGTGTTCTCACCATGTTCTCGCTTTCAGTCTCAGCAGGTCGCGGTTTGGGAGAGGGCTCCTTGAAGCGCTACCCTCCGATGATCCTGACGTCTCCGTCGCAGGGCTTAGGGTTTCGGGTTTAGGGTTTAGGGCTTAGGGGTTTAGGGTTTAGGGTTTAGGGTCCCTTTGTAGTCCGTATGGCCTTGTTTGTGCGCGAACCATAGCGTTAGACCCCTTGAAGAAAGTGGCAGGGCGTGGCTTCAGTCACCCTAAAAACCCACAACAAACGACACACAGAACAAACGACAAACGACGGACAACAACCAATAGCAACCAACAAAAAGCAACAGCAACGGCAAGCAACGGGAACAGCAGCAGCAGCCGCAACGTTGTGTGGCCTCCTCAGTCTCAGTGAAGCTGCTCCCGCTCCCGCTGGCAGCCTCTGTTGCTTGGATCTAGATCGCTGAAAGAAGGAGGTAGCTATGAAGTAGTCCTGTATAGGGGTCAAGGTTGCGGGATATGCCAGAACTGTTTGGCAATTCAGGGTTTTGAAGGCATGTGTTCCGTTTGGGATGAGAGCTTGGGGGGTTTTGGACATTCGAGGCATCGGACTTAGGTAATGACTGCCCCATTGCGGATGGTCATGGCGAGAAAAGATAGCGTAGGCTTTTGGGGGTTCAGTTGGTGAGTCTTTGGGTCAGCTTGGGGCTGCATCGCACGCTTTCAGAAGCTCCCTGACACATCTCGGATTTCACACACAGCTCCTGAGAGTGAACGTAAGAAGTGCACCCAGCATCTTTGTCCTCCTTGAGGTGATTCCGAAAATAGAACTCACTGAGCCCTCCACTCGTCTCAGGGAGGCTAGGTCGAAGTGGTCCTGTCACAGGTATCGCTGGTCCAAGGATCTACGTTTAGGGTTTAGGGGTTTAGGGGTTTAGGGGTTTAGGGGTTTAGGGGTTTAGGGGTTTAGGGGTTTAGGGGTTTAGGGGTTTAGGGTTTAGGGTTTAGGGTTTAGGGTTTAGGGTTTAGGGTTTAGGGTTTAGGGCTTAGGGTTTAGGGTTTGGCATCATGTGCTTCGCAGATCCACTGCGTGTAGACCTCAGCATCACAGCGCCTACCCCAAAAGTTACGCCCATCAGACCCTATCGCACAGAGAGCGGTCGTGGGTGAAGTTGCCATTCTCCGCCACGGCGAGTCTGGCCATCATCTGCACCAGAACACTGATTTGAAGTGGGGGCTCGGGTGGCCAAGGAGCTGTCAGTTGCCAGCAAACTCAGGACCAGGGCCCAATACCCCCAGAATTCGGGAATGTGGCTTCATTTACAAAGGGATCCTGACTATGATTTAACCAATATTCCTTCTTTAAGGGGTATTGGGCTCTTCACTCGGCGTGCACGCGCATCAGGCAAGCTTTCGTGCCTTACCCGAAGCCCAAAGCGGAAAAGCCAGCATGGGCCTCTTGCCGGTCGTACATGTCGAGTTCAGCCTGCGGACATGGAGAGGGGGTTTCATCTAGCATCTGCATGCAAGCCGATGCGAGCAATAGTCTGTCAGGCAACTGTTCAGGTGTGAGCTCCAAACTGACTTTTTACATACAATCCCAAACTTCTAAATATTGAATCGGCCTGAACCGATACTGCAAGGTCTCGAGACTTCCATGATGTTAGGGGCTTTTGAACTGCCAAAGACTGAGAAGACACTAACTCTGCTTCGCCTCCTCATCAGAGCTGATATCGGCCCAGCGCCGGTCATGCCTTCGCAATATTGCGTTTCCGAAATTAGCCCTTGTTGGGGTCCTTGTTATAAGGGAATCCTGCTGTTTTGGGTAGAGGTCCCCTTATTCGAAAGCAGCCGAGCCTCCATCCCCTAAACCCTAAACCCTAAACCCTAAACCCGGAACCCTAAACCCTAAACCCTAAACCCTAAACCCTAAATCCAAGGGCTCACTCAAGCCCATCACGAGCCTTTTCGGGCTTACAGCTTGGGGCTTGAAGTCTCTTGGTGGCCGGAGCTGGTCTGAGCAGGTCTAACGTGCAAACGGGTTTAGGGTTTAGGGTTTAGGGTTTAGGGTTTAGGGTTTGGGGTTTGGGGTTTGGGGTTTAGGGTGAAAAGTTTGTGCACACTTGCCTGGCATTGTCCGCCATGGCTCCCCGAACCCGGCGGAGGAGGCAAGACTCACAGTCGAATTTTTCAACTTGCGGCTTGCAGTATCGGGCTTGAGTTTAGGGTTCAGTTGAGGAGTTAGGAGCTTCGAAGTTAAACCCTAAACCCTAAACCCTAAACTGAAGCAATTGTCACCAAAGAACCGTTGCTCTTGAACATCTCTAGCAAGGCTTCTGCCGGTGCCGTCGGCCCGCCTGAGCCTGAATGTCCAGTTTCGGCCATTGAACGGCGGGTCTCAGGGATCCTCAACCCTCAACCCTCAACCCTCAACCCTAAACCCTAAACGCTAACCCTCCAGGAAGCTTGGGGAATGACATGCAGCTGAAGCGCCAGTTCTAAAACCCCAGAGCCACCCCGCCCCGTCCAAGAAGATTTGCCACATGTGCAGGTTAGGGCTGGTGGAAGGCAAGTGTGACCACAGAACCATGCGAGCCGTCACTAGCCGAAGCGCACACCACCCCAAGGAATCAGGATACATGTACATCTCGCATCCTCAGCCGTGAATCCAAATCGTGAAGCTGCCAATTCCTTACTCAAGATTCCCTGAAGCCCTAAACCCTAAACCCCAAACCCCAAACCCTAAACCCTAAACCCTAAACCCCAAAACCCCAAACCCTAAACCCCAAACCCCAAACCCCAAACTCCATCTTCAGCCCTGAGCTCTCAATCATGTGCCGAGGGTGCCAACAAGCGCTTCAGTTCAGGAATAACCTACGGGTTCAGGGTTGGTTTAGGGTTTAGGGTTGGGGTTTCGGAAAAAGGGTTTGGGGTTTAGGGTTTAGGGTTTAGGGTTTAGGGTTTCGGGAAAAGGGTTTAGGGTTTAGGGAGCCCTCCGCCCTCATGGCAACCCGCGCCCTGCGCTTCCTCGGCCTTGCTGAGCTTGCCAGTTACCTCCTCAGGTTTTCCAGGCGGCTTGGGGGAAACGACTGCTCGGACTCAAAGGGGCTTTTAGGGTTTAGGGTTTAGGGTTTAGGGTTTGGGGTTTGGGGTTTGCGGGTTTAGGGTTTAGGGTTGAAGCCGGGAAGGCTCACAGAGTTTCGAGGCTCAGGGCTTTTGACCTGGGAGCTCACGGATTTTCAGGTGTTCGGACTTTTCATCCTGGGGGGGGGGGGGCGTTGAGGCGTGTAAAGCTTCGTGCACTTGGGTTCGGAGCTTCTGTTGCTTTCTTTCAAGTACATGGAGATGTAAGCCAGGATGGGCTATTAGGCCCCTATAATCACCATAATCAACCCTATAAAGGGCCTTTTTTAGGGGTTATAAGGTATAATAGCCCGTCCTGGAGGGTTGAAGGTTTTGGGCGTTGGGGTTGTTTTGGGGATCTCGTGGTTGGCTGTAGGGCTCCGAGTATGAGCGACCTGCAGCTGCAGGGAGCCAGCTTCCAGCAAAGTGTAGCGGGTCCAAGGGCTTAGGGTTTAGGGTTTAGGGTTTAGGGTTTTCTGGTCTAAGCCGAAGGCAACAACGGTCCCAGCGAGCACAATTGTTGGGAACAAAGCGGAGGCGCTCGCCGTGCCCTCCTTCTCGCGGCTGATATGCCGAATATTGCTCGTGAAAACAAACTGCCTGATGACCTTCGTCAGGCATCTGCTCTTGTGCACAGTGTGCCGAAACCAAGGGCTGTTTTAGAGTGCTGCTTGAACTTCCAAGTAGCGGAAAGTCATCCGGGAAAAGAATGCCAGAGCACCTACGCTCCGTGCAGTGTACGCCCCTCAGTCTACGCGCATCCAGACATTCTCCGCAGCAGCCCCCCGTGAGCCGTTCTGGGCTACTGAGCAAGTCTTCCTCACAGCCCTTCGGGCGGTCAGCGAAGTTTCGGCAGTGGCACTTATCATTCAAGGGTGGGCCCGCTCGGTTCAGGCTATTGAGGATGGGTACCTAGCGCATTTGCAAGCCATCAACTGGAGCGTGCCCACGGAGCGTAACCGATGGCTATTGCCATTTTCGCCCTTGCGGCCTCAACCGTACCGACAAATCAGGTGCAATTCGGCAACATGCCGACGGCCGTTGAATTGTATGGCATAAGGCACATCGGTATCTCGGTGCTCCGATTACTGCAAAGGAGCAGTGCAAGGAGCAGTGCAAGGAGCAGTGCAAGGAGCAAGGAGCAGCGCTCTTTGCATAGTCTGACGCAACGCCAGTCAGCCCAGAAGAAGAAGAAGAAGACGAAGAAGAAGAATAAGAAGAAGAAGCAGAAGAAGAAGAGCTCCTAAAGACCCTAGCAGACCCTAAAAACCCCAGGGATCCTCCAAGCGACTTTGAATGGAGATGCGCTCGTCGACCTCTGCAAGCTGCTTTTGCGCGTTTTTTTTTTTTTTTTCTGGGGGGGGGGGGGGGGGGGGGGGGGGGCACGTGAGTGGGATCTGCAGAGTGGCAACGAAGTTGCTTCAGCTCTGGGGGCTTTGGATCTCAGCATTTGGAGTTGAAGACTTTGTACCTTGCATTTCAGGGAGACGTGGCGTACCGTTTCAGGCTTTTTTCCAACCTTTGCAATGGGGATGCGGAATCGGCGAACCTTTGTGCCCCTCTGGAAATGGTGACCCTAAGACCCCTGACCTCGAGCCCTGAAACCCCCTCTGTATCCAGAAACCATTCGCACACCCATCTTTCACCACACTTCTGGGAGCCCCTGCCGCATCTTTATAGGCAGGTCGCAGGTCCTGCAAGGGCCGAATCGGGATTCCTGGCTTTGCTTCCAGGCCCTAGGAATCTCTACGAGTTGATTTAGGAGTTTGATTGCATATTCTTCCAGAATCTTCCAGATTCCAGCGTTCAAAGGTTTCCAGATTGTGCCACAACACTTGTGCAAATCCAATCCTAGCCGGGGAAGTATTGCATCTGGGCCGTAAGAGCTGAAGCTCGGCGGCGACGCTCAGGAGCTGGTTCAGGAATCTAGGTCAGCAACCTGCCCCCAATAATGATACCAAAATGATACCCTGAATCCTGAACCATCATCATTCCTTCGAAATGTCCAGCCTCCAGCTCCATGGTTGCAACCTTCAGCTCCCGTGCCATGTTGACCATCGCCTCTGCAGCCGCTTTGTTGGCAGGGTATGGGGCTTTGGCAGCTGCTCAAGACGAGGTTCGCGCAATGACCCTAAAACCCTAAACCCTAAACCCTAAACCCTAAACCCTAAACCCTAAACCCTAAACCCTAAACCCTAAACCCTAAACCCTAAACCCTAAACTCTCATCTTGGGGGCTCCTCCGACAGCTAGGCATTCGCCCAAATACGCCGCAGTGTTACCTTTGACCAGCGTGCAAGCTGCACGTCGCGTAGACGCTTGACGCTTTACAGCACTTTGCAGGCTGTGGCTGGGTGAGGGCCATGGTCGGCTCTCCCCCTTCCACGCCTCAGAGTTTGGGAGGAATGGGACCCTAAACCCTAAACCCTAAACCCTAAACCCTAAACCCTAAACCCCTATGAGCCAACCGTCCTCGGGTGCACACCTCCGTAGCGTCCCACAGTTGACAGTCAATGAGTAAAGGTCTGTTTTTTTAAGCGCCAAGCAAACCTCTCGGCGGTATACGTTCGGCAGCCACTCCGCGTAAAGGCTCCGAATGAACCGTGAGGGTGCCAACCGCCGCCGAAGGGGACACAAGTTCGCCTAGTCGGTTCGATCACTCTGTCCACACCTCGTTAGCTCACTGGACGGCAGTGTCTGGAATCAAGCCAGAAGCTTGTCGCTTGTGACTGCAACGCGACAAGGCGACTGACCTCACAGGAGGCCAAGTCTGCAACAGTGGCTTGGAAACCCTAAACCCTAAACCCTAAACCCTAAGGGGAGCGGATGTGAACCAATCGCAAGGAAGGTCGCGAAGGGCTGAAAGAGTCGTGTTGGTTTCAGCGATGCGATGCTCTGACCATCGCCGCTCTTCATCGCTCCTCATCACCTCTGCTTTGTTCTGAAATTCGATGTTCACTGGCAGCTTGGTTGAAGTCTACGTGGGGGCTTCCGAAAATAGGCGCACCTCTTTTGGGGGCTCCTTTAAAAGGACTATATGGTATTCTGAGGTATATAAGAGCTCCTTTAAAAGGACTATATGGTATTCTGAGGTATAGAAGAGGTACCCTATTCTCGGAAACCCCCACGTCAATCTTAGCTGTCGACGTCGGTGATGGTCCGTTCTTCCATGCTGCAGTCGGCAGCTGCAGCGGCTGAGGGTTTAGGGTTTAGGGTGTAGGGTTTAGGGTTTAGGGTTTAGGGTTTAGGGTTTAGGGCTTAGGGCTTAGGGTCTAGGGTTTAGGGTTTAGGGTTTAGTGTTTCGGTATGAATCGAGCATGGCCTTCAATCATTGGGGGCCGCTGAGACCGGATGCACGAAACAGGTTTGCGTCAATTTTTCAGGCCAAAGTCAGCCGCTGACCACGGCGAATGACCTCGGACCTTAAATTCATGACCAACTCCATGCCGGTTGGTCAAGCCTCTGCCAAGTCGGTCATGGGCGGGCTAGAACTTGAAAGAGCCAAAGCGTGATCTGCTAAAAACGGTTGACTTGGTCTGCGCCTGCCTGATTGCAACCCTGAAGCACGCAAGCCTCTTCACTCAGCCCCAGCAGGATGAGGACTCGACAGGAGCTGCACCCACAAAGAGAAGGAGCCCGAACTCGAAACCCCCCCCACAATCCCACAGCCACAGCCACCCCGTCCTTGTCGCCGCGCTCAACCTTCAACTCCTCCCGAAGTTCCTCCACCTGCCTGCAAGGGGGGGGGGGGGGGTTCTAGATGGGGGATAAAGGGGGTATACAGGGGGCCATAAAAGGTTATAAGGGGTGCTCACTGGGCTCACTGAGCCGGCTTCGGGACAATCTCAGGCCTGGTGGGACGACTTGACAGTGTGATCCCTAACCCAAGTAGCCTAGCCATAGGTTTTGTAAATCGGAGGTTTGGTTGGAGGCTTTGATCCGTCTAGGGACTTCGTGGCTACAACGCTTGGGGTTCGTGCTTGGGGTGTTCAGGGTAGGTGAAGGGTCTTCGGGTGCCTCATGGTGTCGCCTAAGCCTTCTGGGAGGTTTGGAGCCTGGGTTTGGAGTAGTAGGGCGTCCTGGGTTTGGGGTAGTAGGGCGTCCTGAACGGTTGTGGGTCTCCTGCTTCGGGCAGACTCCGCGCTGTGGACTAGTTCGACAATTCGGGTTTGCATCTCAAGTTAATGGTTTTGGGGCTTTTTGCAGGGTTTAAGGCTACAGAACCGACTGGGGGGGGCTCCGACACTGCTTCACAAGAGTCCTTTAGCTCGCGAGCTCAACTCCCATTCCTCAAACCATGAATGAAGCTCAAAGTCTGGTTCTTGAACTGGCGACAAAGGGCAGTAAGGCAAGCAGTAGGTGGGCGGTGTTCGAAACCCGGTGCTGAGGTTGCATCCCTCTCTAGAGTTTGTGAAAATCTACAAACTCTGCCCCCATGTACCGCCTCGACCCCGACCGGTAAGCCATCAAGTCAGCACTGAAGGGAACATGGGCTGCTTCTACTGCTGCGGGGGGCGCGCCTCTCAAGGTAGTCAACCATGTTCCTTGCAATCGAATCACAGGCTCTTTGTCGATACTCTGGCCGGTTGTTTTGTGAGGGGCATTGCTCTACGTCTTCCCGCAAAGCCCTCGCATGGTAAGAGAGAGCGAGAGAGAGAGTGTGTGTGTGTGTGTGTGTTTATTGTTCTTGTTCTTGTTATTATTCTTATTATTGTTCTTGTTCTTGTTCTTGTTCACAATGATACAATAACACAATAATACCAGAATACAATCATACGATGGTACAACAGTACAACAGGACAACAAGACACCAATACAATGCAACAATGCGATACTACAATAATGCAATAAGAAATTTCAGGAAGTTTGGGATGTCCAATAACCACGTGAAGCTCAAAAACCTGCAAGTTGCCATGTGTCGCGCTCTTCCATACTACGTGTTTAGTCCACGGCAACCTGCAACGCGCTAACCCAGCCGTAGCCGCAGCAGCAAGGGCTAGCACCAGTAGCAATCGAAAAGATACGAAAAGTAGTCGTCGTGGTGCATAGTACCAGTAGCAGGAATACTACTTAGTCTTCTTCGCTGTGGAGGGCTTAAACGTTGACTGAGGCGCTGCTGCTTGGTCACCTGGTTCAGCGCTTTCAAGCCTGACGGCAGGCTTGGGAAACTTGCAGCGATTCGCATCGCAGCGATTCGCGGTGACTGTGGAAGGGAGGGCTCCGAAAACAACCCTAAACCCTAAACCCTAAACCCTAAACCCTAAACCCTAAACCCTAAGCTTCAGGGGCTTCAGCTCTCCGCAGGCCGGGAACAGCGAGGTTGGCTACCTACCTGGCCGAATAGGCCTTTGGGGTAGCTAAAATACTCGGGTTGCATCACGACCCAAGTTTCACTGAGGCCGCTGTAGACAGCGAACTTCTCCGTTGCTTGCAACTGCCGGTACGTAACTGCAAGCGTTCGACGAGTACCAAGGCCCAAAAAGCAATTCAGGAACCCGACAAAAAGGCCTGCACTTGCCTGAACCATCCTGCACCCTAAGAAACCAAGGCCATTTACGAGCAACCTTAATATTCTCAACCATGTGATATTGCTGGCTCAACCCCAAGACTCTCAACACTTGGCTGCCACTTGTCCTAGCACCCGACCTCGCAACAGCAAAACATCGCAGAGGTTAGAGCTCTGGGTCATGGGTCTACGGTTTGTAGATTCCATAGAACCTTATTAAAAATAATGCAAAAACGAAAATAAAACAAATTCCCAAGGGAGAGATAGGGATGTGCACGGTCGCGCTACTCTCGGCAACTTCTCCTCCAGCTTGCCTCCCGGCGCGGTCTCTGCGAAAAGCTCCTGGCGAGTTGAGGCTGAGGGCGCAGAGCGCGGGAGGAGTAGCATGTGTCCCATCCCGCTCGCATCAAGCCAAGATGTGCCACGTGTCTGCATTCGGGTTCTTGGCTTCCATAGAGCTTTTGGTTTGTTCGAGATGTTTGACCGGGCTTGCTCGGTTTTTGGGTTAGGCTGTAGGGCTGTAGGTTCTACGGGCGATTGTTTAGGGTTTCGTGGGAGGTGGAAAAGGGGGAGGAGGGGATGGAAGGGGATACGGTTTGTTGAAGCGAACCTGGCCTGCAGACTCTGGAGCTTCTCTTTGAGATCGGCCACCTCAGGTCTGGGCGGAACAAGCAAAGGCCACTACACAGAAATCTCGCCCCAAGTCCACACCTCAGATCTTGCACCCCTACACTGCACCGAAACACGATTCAGAAAGCCTAAAGCCTGAGCACAGACTCGAAACCACAACACCGTAGACTTGACGCAGAACACCTCCTTGTCCTTCTGCTGGACTTGGTTGCGGAGTCGAATCCTCAGGCTTCGAGGCTTAGGAGGGTGTCAAGGCAGCTAAAAAATTGCAGCAGCAGAGAACTCAGCATGGCTGCTTCATGTTGCGAAGACGATCTTCGTTAGACTCCCGCCTAGCCACTCCCTGTGTGATTAGCAGGTCCTTGACAGGTTCAGCGCTTCCCAATTACTCTGTCGCGGCTCTTTCATGGGTGTGATCCGCAGGCATTGGTGGCTCTCGCACATTCTAGCGGGCCAGAGAATCTGAACGACCCATGCTCTTGCCATGTGAGGTCTTCAAAATGCAGACCTATAGGTTTGCCCGGGTCAGAATCTTCACTGTTCATCCTTTAAAGCCACTTGCGCGAAGCATGAAGAGAAGCTTTAACTTGGCGGCCAAAGATGCAGCATGCATCTCGAGGGGCGTTTAGAACAGGGTTTAGAGGGTTGAGGGTTACCCACCCCACCCCCACCCCCCCACCCCCCCACCCCCCCACCCCCCCACCCCCCACCCCCCCACACCCCCCCACCCCCCCACCCCCCCCACCCCCCCACCCCCCACCCCCCCACCCCCCCACCCCCCCCACCCCCCACCCCCCCACCCCCCCACCCCCCCACCCCCCCAACCCCCCCACCCCCCCACCCCCCCACCCCCCCACCCCCCCACCCCCCTCACCCGTCTCCCCAAT